GTCTAGCCTCATCGCAGCACCTCCCCTCGGGAGCGTCACGCGAGGGGGCTGGACATGGGGGCTGCGCCCGGGTCACGCCCGAGAGTACGCCACCCAGCCAGGTTCCTCGGACCTGGTCGTCGTGCGCCCCTCCCTGAGCGGAGCCAAGGTACGAAGATCGTTTGCATGTCAAGGGGGACTCCTGAGCATCGCGACTCAGGAGCCTAACTGGTCACGTAGCCCCTTACTCCTTAGTTTCGCAAGGCTAACAACGGTTGAGGTATGCGCGGGGCCGGGCCCTGCCGACGTAGAACGCCAGATATACTCCTACATCCCCTCCCTATTTGATGTTCGCGCGTCAAGGGGGACTCTTGAGCATCGCGACTCAGGAGCCTAACTTGTCACATAGCCCCTCACTCCTTGGTCCCGTCCTCGTGATCCGGTCGGGGCTAACGGCGATTGAGGTATGCATGGGGCCGGGCCCTGCCGACGTGGAAGATAAAGCAAATAGGAAGGAAACTGCTAGATTCCGAAGCAAATCCAGAAGCAAATATTACAAACCATAATTGTCTTCATGATACCAAACGCAAGTTTAAACGCCTCCGCGAGGCACGGTGCATATTGTAGGAGTTAAAACAGGAAAGAAGCCGCGAGAAGATCACCCTTGGGCAACACCGTCATTCACTAGGAGCCCCACCTCCGTGGTGGGGTGGCCTCCATCAGCTCCACCTCCCGAGGCCGCGGAATCAATAGCACCTTCCCTGGGCACAGTGGCAAAGGCGCGGAACTTCACCAGCAGGGCCTCAGCTCGGCCCTTCACGGCTTTAGCAGCAGAGGCGGAACGCTCGTCGTCCACGGGCTCCAACAGCTCGTCGAGGTTGGCGCCAGGGTCGTGAAGGTAGATGTGGCTAAAGACACGTGTCAGCGCCATAGAAGAAAGGACGCGAGCCTCAGTCTCGGCCATGGGGCCGATGCCGGTCACAACTTCCTCGAGCGCCTCAACCAAGAAAGGGAGCAGCTGGACAGGGCCCTCCTTGGCACCAGCCAGCGGCTTCTCCAAGCCATCCTCGTAGAGAGCCTTCAGTGCCTTGCGAGACCTCACCTCAAGATCCGTGAAGGCCACGCGGTCCTCGAACAAGACCTTCGCCTTGGCGTCCAGCTCGGCCCTCTCCATCTTCAACTTCTGCTCTAGCGTACCCAGTCGGCTGTGTTCGGCGGTCAGCTCGGCGTCGTGTTCCCCGATGGCGACCTCCCGAGCCTTCATCTCCTCCTCCTTCGGCTGGCTGTTATGAGCTTCCTTGGCGAGCTCATCACGCAAGCCCTGCAGCTCGGCCTCTAGCGCAGTGCAGCGTTCCCGGGCGATCGTGGAATCCTTCAGCGCCACATCACGGGCGGCTGCGACCTGAATCGTGACTCACTTCTCCCCCTCAGAAGCTGTTGCGGCCCGCTCCAGCGCCGCTCGGACAGAGGTGTCGGAGTGAACCCAACCAGAGATCATCTCCAAGCGGCCGGCCACCAGGTGGGAGTCGGTGCCCTGGAGATCCTTTCGCAGCCGACCCAGCTCAGAAAGGGCACGGTCCAAGACAGCAGAGGAGGCAGAGGAATTCGGAGCCAGCGGTGCAGGAGGAGAAGGCGGCACCGTAACCATGGCTCGGGAGACTGGGGGCTCCTGAGTCTTGGCCACCTCAGCAACAACATCAGGCACCGGCACCTCCAGAGCCGGCAGGGCCATGGGGGCTGGCATCCCGCCAGAGCGCTCCTCTGGGCCTCGCGAGTACGATCGGGCAAAGGAAGTGCGAACTGCATTGCCTCCCCTTCCCATGAGCAAAGGCGCGGCCGCAGCAGATGAGCCTGCCCCAGGCGGAGCCACCGTGTCCCCTTCTGTTTCTTCGCCGCAGGCGGCGACCTAACCAAGTGATGGACGGCAAGCTCCGGCAGCAAAAACAAGAACAAGACAGAGTTCGAGCACTTACTGGTCAATCACGGCGTAGGCCACCGACCGCTTGTTGAGCTTAAAGCCCGAGAGCCTCTTGGTACGGGGCGCAACCTCGGGAGGTCCAGAAGCAGAAGAGGGCGCATCGGGAGAATTGGAGACGGCTTTGGGCAGTGCCTGGGCAGCAGCAGCCCCTTGGGAGATCAGCGCCGACCTGTCCTTCTTCAGGATCATGGGCGAGTCCTCTCCTTCTCGCACGACGTTGGCCTCGTCGTCGTCCGGCAGGGTGCGGAGGATGCTGGCCCTGCGCCAGGGGGAGGTATCCCCCGTCCCCTCAGCGGTCTCCTTTGAGTCGTGCTCCTCTTCTTCCTCGTCCTCCTCTCCTCCCCCACGGGATTCACCAGTAGACACTTCCACCGGCCGTCGCCCCTGGCCCTCAGGAGGCACCGCCGGCACCAGGCCGCGCCCATCAAAGGTGGGCATGGCATCTACCGCCAGTTGCCAGTTGTCGTGGGGGAACAGGGGGGCAGGAGTGCCCTCCATGCCTCCCAGGTCGTCTCCAACCAAAAGGTGGAGAGTTGCGGCCAGGTCCTCGTCGGCCAAGGCCGCCGGGTTCAGGCGAAGATCATTGTCCGCGCTCCCAAGCATCCACAGCAGGCGCGAATGCGCCTGAAGTGGAGCCACCTGTTGCGTCAGGAACTCCCTCAAGAGCGTAGACCCGGTCAGCTTCGTCGCCTTCATGTTGCCCGGCCTCAGGTCCGTGTTCATCTTCTCCAGCGCCAACTTCGCCCGGCTGTCATCAAGCTTCACGCGAGACCACCCCTCGTCAGGCTGGGGCTGCTCCGTTGGCAGCACCAACCGGGAGTGGATGCATCTGGCATCCATCATGACCCACTTGCTACGGAAGTCATCGACCCTCTTCCCGGTCTTCGAGATTGCGTTGGCTTTGGAGCACACGACAAAACTGGCACACACCAAGGTATACTCGCCGGTGATTCGGAGGGAGAAGAAGTGGCGTAGCAAGGCCACAAACGGCATCACCCCAACGTGCACCTCACAATAGTAGGCGAAAATCGACAAAAGGAGAATGGAGTTGGGATGGAGAGGAAGGGCCTGCAACTGGTAATGGCGGAGGACGGCGTAGAAGAACTCAGAGAAGGGAGGAACCAAGCCGGCGACGACGACGCTCATGAAGAAGGGGTAGAAGGTGCTCCCCTTGGCCTCCGGCTCGGTAGAGCCGGCCCGGAGTTTGGTCGCCCCCATCTCGTTGCCCTCCACCGCCGTCATCAGGCGCGTAGCGGCGAGATTCTTCTCCGACATGTTGGGGGCGTCCAGGGCCGGCAAGTACCAAGATGGCAGGGCGTTGGCCGCAGCCTTGCGGGGTGCCATTGCTCGCTGAAAGGGGAAGGAGGAAGGGGATCTGGAGCAAGGCGAAGGAGAGCAATGAAGGCAAGCCTTACCCGGGCCAGCGTTTTGTCAACCGGGCAGTTGCTGAGGCAGCGTGGGGAAGTGGAGACGCCCACGTCCAATCAGTCGCCACACGTTGACCAATGTCGCATGCTGTTGGGGCCCGGGGCGCTCCGCACTTGCCCTTTGGCTTCGCTGCTAAGCCAAGTCCGAGCGCGCCTTATGCCCGGGGGCTACTGTCGGCGTTCTGGGAACGAGGGTCCCCAGACTTGCCTGCGTGCGGCCTGCAGCGTGGCTCAGCCAGTGGCCCAGTACGGCCCATCTTCATCAACCCAAACTCAAGACCCTCGCGAGGAGCCAAGCCTCACGGGGCGGACGACACAAAGCCTCCTCAGGGGCGGCCTCACCAGGCAGGCTCGCGAGGAGGCGGAGAGATCAAGGCAAGGGTTACCTCGCGAGGTGCTCATGACGCAAGCCATGACGATCGAGACCAGGCGGGCGCCAAGCGGGCGTCAGCTTGTGCAGAGTCCTCGTTTCCCTTTTGTTGCAAAGGGGGGCAAGCGCAGGCGCGGAGTACCGAGGCAGCAAGCAAAGGTTTCCATATCAGTGCAACGAGACCAAGACCAGCAGAGCGGCAGGACGGAGGTCACCGTGGAGCCTAAGACGGCGTCATCACCAGTGCCTTTTGCAGTCGAAGACCACCTTTTGTCAGGATAAGTTGTACTAGCTGTCCCCTTTCAAAATGGCCGTTATTGGCTCCATTCCCGCTCAATATTTGGGAGGAGGACCAGGGCCTCTATAAATAGGGCTAGCCACCACCAAGGCAAAAGGGGAAGACCCGGCCAATCAGATCGAATCCCACCTCAAGCAAAACCACCCACCAGGCACAAGAACACTTTGCCTCGCGAGGCTGTTCTTTCCTTATACTGTTGATTATCTGCCCAAGAGGCAATCCACCACCACACACAGAAGTAGGGTATTACACCACAACGGTGACCCGAACCTGTATAAATCTTGTGTCTCTTGTGTTGTTCATCGTGCTAGCTTAGAATCACGGCGAAATTGTGGACGTGAATCGGTAAGGAGAAGATCTTCGTGCGCACCCCAAAATTCGAATCTTAAGGGTTTTGCCGGAACCCGATATCCGACAGTGGCCAACGTGAGATTAGGATTTAGACATGATCGCCCCGAGTAAAATAAGCAACGCTCAGACAACGGGAATCTGCTTTGCAACCATGTTCGTGGGGTATATTGTGCCCCTACGATTCCCTCCATCCATGAACTTCCCCATCATTTCCTGGACCTCTTTTTCTACAAAAAAGACCATTCCCTGCATCTACTACTTGCTGAGAACCTTTCCATCCGTGACCTGCTATACGTACGACATTTTCATGTCCGAACACACATACAATTGTTGTCGCATGTGCTTTCGTCCAATCAACCAACTCCACGGGGAAAAGGAATGCAGCTTGGAGTCTAGTAGAGACACATCAGATCGTATATACGAAGATCGTGTGCAAAGCAATTTCTCTCGAGTCTCTGAGTAAGTGGTGCAAGTTCTACGATGATCCATCCGGAAAACGTCGATCGGCTTCAGCTTCTACAGTCGTACGGTAGCTGCGTATGCGTGTGCGCATATGTGTGAATGGTCGAGTATGAATTCCAAGGGGTGTGGCAGTACCTTGGTCGTCGTCGTCGTACTTTGGGAGGTCGTCGACGTCGAAGAGCATCTCCGACGAGGACTCGGCCTGCAGGTTCCCGACGATGAGGACGCAGGCCGGGAGCGTGAGCAGGCAGAGCACCAGCGCGGCGCGCACGCAGTTGCGCCGGTGCCTGCCCCGCCCCGCCTCCTGCTGATCTGCGGCGTGGGCGTGGGCGTGCGGCGCCCTTGCCTCCGTCTCCAGGCGGCCGCCGCCGCGCAGGGGCAGCCTCTTCTCGTGGCCGCCGTTGCTCCCCCGCCAGCTGCTGGGTTGTTTCTCCATGATCGAGCTACCTCCACGCTAGCTCTAGGCTCTCTAGCTCGCTCGTTTGCTCCGCTCCGTGCTCGTATATACTACGTTGGCAGGCAGGCAGGCTACAAGATGCGTCTTGTTTGCGTTTTGGTTTGGGGTCTCCGCCGTCTCGGGGACGGAGCGGTCAAAGCTGGAAAGCCGCGGCCGCGTGGGCGCTGCACCGTGCGAGAGGAGGTTTTAAGGTTTTATCGTTGTAGTACTAGATGACCCGGTTGCGCCAATGGCGCAAGAACCCAGTTAAAAACTTTGTTAGTAGGGAGTAAGTAGATGTAGATGGCTCAAGAACCCAGTTAAAAACAATGTTAGTAGAGAGTAAGTAGACGTAGATGACAATGTAATATGAATTGTATTAATTTAGATCGGTTTTCAGATGGAAACAATATAATGTTCGGAAGGGGAAGTACTGTTACATGTATATAATGTCAGATACAATAATAGTGTTTTAAGCATGCAGTTTAGTATCAATAGTATCTGCGTTCGTAGTGCAAAACTATACATATGCATCCGGACAACATATTTAAAGCCAGAAGCCAAAAGGCTCCACGAGAATTACAGTTCAAGTAACATCATAAACCTCAAAGATAAAGAATATTACAATCATGCCAAGTGCTAAGAGACAAAAACACCGCCAATAGTTGCTTCACCAACCGCCACCACGATGCGCAGCGCTGACCACGTGTCTAGCATGACTGCTGGTCTTGGTTCCATCAACCAGTTCAAGGTATGCGTCATGTTCCTCTCCCCACTGTACTGAAGTGAGAACACCTTGGGCTCCATCTTCGCGGTGGATCACACTACAGCTTGGCAGCGGAGCGGCTCCTGCTGCAGCTCGAAGGTGCTCCGGCTCCATCTCCATCTCAGCTCCTGCTGCAGCTCGGAGGTGCTCCGACTCCATCTGCATCTCAGCGACCCGGCAGCTCGGAGGAGCTGCGCCTCCATCTGCATCTCAGGCGGCCCAGCAGCTCCCGCTGCAGCTCGGAGCTGTGGAACCGGAAATGGTGCCGCCCTTGCTTGTATCCACGACCCACTGTGAGTGGAAGCAGAATCTCATTTCATTCTCGTAGCTGCTTGGAGTGACTGCTGGCCTTTCAACAGGATGATCAACAAAGCATGTTGTTGGTCAGGGTTGATTAAAATCAAGCTTCCTTGCAGGTCCAGGCTCAATCAGTTGAGAATTCCTAGAAGGTCTGGACTCAACCAAATGAAGCTCCCCTGCAGGCCCAGGCTGAACCAAATCAGCCTTCCTAGGAGTACTGGATTCAATCAAATCAAGTTTCTTTGTAGGTGCGGACTCGACCAAATCAGGCTTCTGTAATGGTCCTTGTTCGATTTTTTCAGGAGGTTCAGATACAATCAAATCAGGCTTTGCTGCAGATGACTCGATCAAATCATACTTTAGTATGCTCACAGTAATCACATAAAGTACCATTTGAGGTGGATTCACCATCCGGCAGGCTTTCGCCATTGCTTCTGCTGCACTCATCATCATGCTGGCTTTGGACATTGCTCTCACTGCATGCATCACCATGTGGACTGTCAGTGTTATAAGGAGCATTCTCAGTGATATTGGCGGTAAGTGGTGATCTTGGAGACTGATGATCTGACACTGACTCTGGGAATCTCATCCACATGTCCGAATTCAGTACTCCTAGAAAAGTTAATTACTATTGCTTCCTCCACGGGTCCGAATTCAGTACTGAAGAATCTGCTAAGGTAGGCTGCCAGAAATGAACACCAAAGAAAGTGTTAGAAGTACATTCATGTTCACTGTGTTGAACATAACTGGTTCAGGCTTATGAAGCTATACCATCGTGTACCAAAAGCGGGAGACACCCAACAAATATTTTGTGAGTGGAGTCATGCTTCTCCCAATGATCATTATAAGAAATACCATGTAATCGTGTACAGATATAAGAAATACCTTTCATAATAATGGTCGCTGTCATAATCATCGAAATCATCATCCAGCAGCTCTTTGTGCCTTTCTTTTTTCATCGCATGGTTCTTTTCCATTGTAGCATGGTTCACTAAAAAGGAATAAAAATCAGTTGAGAATGCAGTTTGCATGATATCCATTATCATCAGTACAACCAAAAGCATCTAACTAACCTTTATATAATTCAAATAATATTTTTTTTCTTCCAGTGTAGGTGGCACCTGTTCAGGCTGTGCCGGCACTCCCTGAAGCCTGTGACTTTCCACAGCAAGGGAGGCTCCAACAAGACCACGATGGCCGCCATTGTTGCACGGGTAAAAACTAACCTCCTTCGGTGTTTGATGAATCTGTAGAATTTTTTGTTAGCTCGTTGCTACTATGCTAATAGCCAAGTCTCGAGGGCAGTGTTGATACTTAGCTGAGTGATTCAACTTTTTTTTGCGGGTAAGTGATTCAACCTTTGAGTACTAATTAGCACTAATTAGCGGCTGGGGCTGCTCTAATATCGAGATGGGTATATTGTAGTATAAAATATTTAGCTGAGTGCTTCAGATGCTGAAGTGTACTTTCCAATTAAATCGCAGATGATCAGGCACATACACACATATATGCATCCTGACAAATGCACTTCCCTGGAATTGTTGATATGCGTATGTGTCATTGCTAGCTGCCGTCGTTGGCCTACTTGGAGAACAATAAGCATTTTAACATAAGGGCATCACACAATTAGTTACAAAATCCAAATACAAAAACTATGCTAGATCTGGAAAAAAAATTATGCATCGTCAGAGTTCACTGTAGTTTCTTGCAGCAGCAACCTGAAGCCATAACACAGAACTGTACAAACTAAAATAAAAACATGTCAACCTGAGTCCTACTACAACAGTTCACAGTCAATAGTCAGAAGAGGCTAATTAAGGTACTGGTGTAAGGTACTTAATTGGGCATACCTAATATCTAGCCTTAAAGAATTTAGATAAGATGTCAAGGGTTCTTTAGTCTATAAATGGCACTCACCTGAACACTAAAATCATGTTTGTCATTGCATAGCTCTAGACTAAATAATAAGGGCATAACCAAAAGATTTACGCATTAGTGCATGAACAAAGAGAAAATAAAATAAGCCTATAATGTCCCATGCTATATGCGCACCAAATCAGGGCAACAGAAGATCACCCATATGAAAAAGGGAACTATGTGAGTATAATTTTTTAGGAAAATGATAAAATGGTGAGATTCATTGGATAATAAGGATTATAAGCTCGGGTATGTAAATTTGAACAAATAGAAGATTAAGAAAGGAGAACACGCAACAAAAAAAGCTTTCAAAAAGTAGTAGTAATTTTACCTCGGTAACAGAAATAGTACCAAAAAATATTAGTTGGCATTTCCTCCGGATGGTGAATTGCCTGGAAAAAAGAGCAGTAGGTATAATGATGGTGTTACTTTCTTATGCAAGCACCAAAACTTCGCCAAAAAATAAAATATATTGGGAGCATTATACCTTTATTATCCCTATAATCCTTGCCCTTGCTTCTAGACTATATGATGGCAGTGCAAGCTAGCCAGCATCTTCAGATTAGTCCATCCAAAAACACACCAAAGATAACAGTTGGATTGTATCATCCCTGAAACGCCATTATTAGAAATTCAGTTGGCACTTAATAGTAAATAGAAGCGCAGGGCTTGCTTATCACGCTTATCATGTGAAATAGGCAAGAGATAGGCAAAAATGGTATATACCAACAAAGAGTATATGTCAATCTAAACCTGAAGCAGTAAAAATAGCCATCCACTTGCTGAAGGAAATAAATGAAATATCAGGGAGATTCGTGTATCTCCTGCTCTGAAAGTGTTGTATATGATAAAATCAAAAAGCAGAAAGCCTGAAAGTGACCGAACAACACTTTCAATGAGGTGTTGTTTATGCAAATAGTGTATATATAACCCGACATAACCATGCCCAAAAATACAAGATGGGTCAATAAAACTCTCCATCAATTTTGCCATCGAAGCAAGATGATCTTTGTGTAACACCAATCATTAGAGAAACCTCAAATTCAACTATATGAAGTGACTTTCTGAAAGAGTCCTATTTACATCAGTATATTACTATCTGATTAGCAATTAACATCAAAAGTCAGTTACCACTAAACTGTGAAACACTCAGACTATGACAAAGGAGAGTTTAACTCAATCCTTTGGTTGATACAAAAACTGCAGATAGTAGCTAAGTACTGCAGAGAAAGGGCAAAAGAGCACCAAATCTTCCATGAACGCAAGAAGATGCCACGAATGGATGATCTGGGTAATCTGATTCCTTTAAATGCAGAGATGGATTTGCCCATCAATCATTATCTCTATGGCTCTGTAGCCAACACATATATTGGTAGCACCAAACCATATGTTCTCTGTTTGAGGTTTTAAAAGAGACAAAACCGTGAGAACTTGAAGAGAAAAAGAAAGAAGAGTACAGTCAAATTATACCTTTAATCAAATAGTTGAAGGAGCTTATGCACCTATCATTTAATCAAATACTTGAAGAGAAAAAGAAAGAAGAGTATAATTTGAAGGAGCTAGCACATAAAAAATTCTTAAACTGAAGAAGGGAAAAAAGAGTAGATACATCACACGCATACTACCATTATTCAGCATGTCCGGTCTATGATAGAACAATCAGCACTAATTTAGTAATTAGAAGGTCATTTCACGCATAGTGAAGATCACGAGAAATATACATATTGGTGATGCTTTCCCTCCTCACCAGGCTGCTCCTTTTGTGGGGGTTGCGGTGAAACAAGTCTGCACAGAAAATCATGATTATGCATACCACCTAGAATAGAAATTAACCAGTGAGAACGTTATATTTCATACAGAACAACTTTCCTGGCACCTTTACCAAGATAGGGAAAAGGTACTCGCTCAGTTCACTTATAAGACATTGTAGCCAATTCAGACTTCACCCAAAACAGTTCATGTTAGCTGTCTGAAACATCTTATAAAAGTGCACGGAGGGAGTATATCTAATTGTAAC